ATCTCACGGAAGTGTGATGACCAAAGGAGATGTGATTTATGGTAAGCCTTGACTACTGCAAATAGTTGTCTCAGGCAATGGCTTGACTGATGATGGAAGCACTAATTTATCAATAGCAGTAATTCTCTAAGTGTGGTCATTGTACCAGCAATGTCCACATGTACTAGAACCTTGTTAGAAATGCACATTATCTGGCCTCAACCAAGACTTGCTGAATTAGAACCACTGAGCTTTAATGAGCCCTCCAGGTGATTCTGATACAAGATGAAGGATTCAAAGCACAGCTCTAATAGATTGCTAAATGTACTCATCTCTGCTCTGAGCTCAGAAAATGCTCTGTTAAGAATTCTCAACCCATAAATCTTCAACAGGAGTCTTGATCTTCAAAAATATCTATGGAGACATTGTAACCTGCCAGGAAGTCTACATTTTTATTTTGATGTTCAAGTTTTTTCTAGCTGTTCTTAGCACTTAATTGAGAAAAAGTCTTTAATTATTGGTATATTTTATTTTTGTGCCATATTTTTGCTACATTTTTACTTTTGTTTGCTTTTGCTAACATAGCATAGCATGATTTTAGAGATTTCAAAAATTTTACTGCAAATGTAAGTAAAGTTGCTGTTTATTGTACTATTCTGCTACAGTTTTACACGTAGTATCTTATTTAATCATTTATTATTTTATTTTACTTGTGACTCAAATTATATAGTCAGTAAGTAGTTTACTTAGAATCCAAAGATGGAACTATTTTACTCCAGGGCAAGAGATTCCACCATTTCTTCATGCTACCTTCCAAACAGAACAACCTATGGAACTTCTCCCAGTATCCAAAACCAATCTTAAATTTTTATCTTAAATTTTGAACCTAAAATTTTAAGACTATTTTATAAATAAAAGGTTCAAATAGTTGTTCTGATCCAGAATTTTATGAGATATGCTTTGCGATAGTAAAGCTAGAACTTTGGCTAAGAAGAAAAACTTTCCAATTCTTTTTAAGGCAATTTCTCAGGCAAATACATTTATTGCACCAAATCTTCAAATGAGAGCTTACAAAATATAACTGCAAACTGAACACATTTACAAATAAATATTCAAAATTCCAAAATTTAAAGATAACTAGGAATCAAATTATTTTATTTTATTTTATTTTATTTTGAGACAGAGTTTCACTCTTGTTACCCAGGCTGGAGTGCAATGGTGCAATCTCGGCTCGCCACAACCTCTGCCTCCTGGGTTCAAGCAATTCTCCTGCCTCAGCCTCCCGAGTAGCTGGGACTACAGGTGCATGCCACCATGCCCAGCTAATTTTTGTATTTTTAGTAGAGACGGGGTTTCACCATGTTGACCAGGATGGTCTTGATCTCTTGACCTCGTGATCCACCCGCCTCAGACTCCCAAAGTGCTGGGATTATAGGCATGAGCCACCGCGCCAGCCTTATTTTGTTTTTATTTATTTTATTATTATTTCTGAAAACAAAAGCTTTTTATCATGGACATCTGCAAACACACATAAAAGTAGAGAAAATAGAATAAAGAACCCTAAGTTACCCATGACTCAACTTCAGCAATTATCAGAATAGGGCCAATTTTGTTCCTTCTGCATTCCTTCATTTCCTTTGAATCTTCACCTATTATTTTAAAGCAAATACCAATTATCATGTAATTTCCATTTGTAAATATTTGCAAATAGAGATAAGAACTCTGTTTTTAAAACAGAACCATATACCATTATCACATTTTTAAAAGTTAATGGTAATTCATTAATTTCATCTAATACCCAGCCAGTGTTCAAATTTCCCTATCGTCTATACAGAGCCACTTTTTCCCCCAGTAGATATGTTTGTTTGAATCAGGATCAAAGCCAAATACCTTAATTGTCGGTAGGTCTTTTAAGTCTCTTTTAATTTCTAAATTTCTCCTCCCTCCATGCTTCTTGCAACTTGATTGTGGTAGAAAAGAAATCCTGTATTTTGTAGAATTTCCTAGATTCTGGCTTTGGCTGATTGCATTCCTATGGCATCATTTAACATGTTCCTTTTCCATACTTCTTTTAAACTGATAGTTGGGTCTAGAGGATTGATTGGATTAAGGTTGATTATCTGACAAGACTACTTCAAAGGCAGCACTCTGAGCTTCCTTTCCTTAACATATCATATCACAATGCACATACTGTCTGGTTATCTGTTTGTTTGTATGGGTGTTGTAAGATCGATCTGTGAGTTCAAGTGATATTATCTTCATCCATTTATTATAAACTTGTAAAATTGTGAAGAATATGTTTCTACACAGTTAGGGCTTTCTGAACAAATTTTACGAACATGTGTTTCTTGGCCTAAGAGCAAACTTAAAAGGCAATTTTTGACTGATCCAATAATGAAAATATTCCAAAGAGAGTGAACTAACTCTGAAAGTAAGGGGCTCAAGGCCTTGGAGACATATCTGTGTTGTCAAACTGGAGACACTGAGCTCATTTTTTCCTTCAGAGGTTTACTTTCATACCAGTGGGTTAGGATAAGAATCCTTCCATCTGATCTCCAAAGATACCCAGAAGGAGAGGGGCAGAGTGATGTCTTTGCTTTTTAGAAACAAAAGAAATTTGTATTTTGTTGTATGTCACTTACAGAGTAACCCACCATTTATATAGGGCATTTATTCCATCTGGCACCCATGTGGCACTCTGAAGCCATGCTGGGTGTGGGGTACCAGGGCTGTGGTGTTAATTCAGCTGTTGATATTTTCATGAGTGTAAAAGTAAATCTGCCTCGGATCCTAAAACCTTGTGTGTGTGTTCAGAAAACATCAATAAAGATTAATATTAAAAGCCTAACAATTGCCAAGGAAACAATCAACAGATTGAAAAAGTAACCTATGAAATGGGAGAAAAATATTGCAAATGATATATATGAAAAGAGGTTAACATCCAAAATATGTAAGAAAAATATATAAGAAACTGAAAATAACTCAGTAGCAAAATAAATAAATAAATAAGTAAATAGGCTAAAGACCTAAACAGATATTTTCTATAAGAAGACATGCAAATGGTATGTAGAAAAGATGTTCAACATCATTAATTATCAGGGAAATGCAAATGAAAACTATGGAGATATCACCTTACACCTATCATAATGCCTACTATCAAAAGGACAAAAGTGAAAGTATTGGTAAAGTTGTAGAGGAAAGGGAACCCTTGTAAGCTATTGGAAGGAATGTAAACTCACAAAGTTACCATAGAAAACAATATGGAATTTCCTCAAAAAATAAAAAATACTATACTACCATACGGATCCAACTACCCACCTCTGGGTATATATCTAAAGAAAATTATTATTATTAATTAGTATTTTTTATTTCCATAGGATTTTGGGGAACTGGTGGTACTTAGTTACATGAGTAACTTCTTTAGCAATGATTTGTGAGATTTTGTTGCACCCATCACTTGAGCAGTATACACGGAACCCAGTTTGTAGTCTTTTATCCTTCACCCTCTTCCCACACTTTCCCCCTGAGTCCCCAAAGTCCATTATGTCACTTTATGCTTTTGCATCCTCATAGCTTAGCTCCCACTTATGAGTGAAAACATACAGCATTTGGTTTTCCACTCCTGAGTTATTTCACTTAGAATAATAGTCTCCAATCCCATCCAGGTTGCGTTGAATGCCTTTAATTCGTTCTTGTTATGGCTGAGTAGTATTGCATTGTGTGTGTGTGTGTGTGTGTGTGTGTGTGTGTGTGTGTATCCACTCATTGATTGATGGGCATTTGGGTTGGTTCCACATTTTTGCAATTGTGAATTGTGCATCTATAAATATGCATATCTAAGTATCTTTTTCATATAATGACTTCTTTTTCTCTGGTTAGATACCCAGCAGTGGGGTTGCTGGATCAATTAATAATTCTAGTTCCTTAAGGATCTTCCACACTGTTTTCTACAGTGGCTGTACCAGTTTAGATTTCCAATACTGTAGAAGTGTTCCCCTTTTACCACATCAAAAATTGTATTTTGATTTTTTTTTATTATGACTATTCTTCTGGGAGTAGGGTGGTATTGCATTGTGGTTTTGATATGCACTTTTCTGATCATCAGCAATGCTGAGCACCTTTTCATGTTTGTTGACCATTTGTATATCCTCTTTTGAGAATCATCTATGCATGTCTCTAGCTGACTCTTTGATGGGATTGTTATTTTTCTTGCTAATTTGTGTGAATTCATCATAGGTCCTGAATGTTAGTCCTTTGTCAAATGTATCAGTTTTGAAGATTTTCTTTCACTCTGTTTACTCAGCTGACTGTTTCTTTTGCCATGCAAAAGCTCTTTAGTTTAATTCAGTACCACCTGTTTATCTTTGTCTTTATTGTATTTGCTTTTGTGTTCCTGGTAATGAAATCTTTGCCTAAGCCCAAAATTGAGATGGATTTTTCTGATATCGTCTATAAATTTTTATAGTTTTAAGTGTTAGATTTAAGTCCTTGATCTTTTTTTGTGTTGATTTTTTTATGTAGTGAGAGATAAGGGTGTAGTTTTATTCTCCCACATGTGGCTTGACAATTATACCAGCATCATTTATTGAATAGGGTGTTCTTTCCCCACTTTATGTTTTTGTTTGCTGTGTCAGATATCAGTTGACTGTAAGTATTTGGGTTTATTTCTGGGTTCTCTGTTTTGTTCCACTGGTCTATGTGTCTATTTTTATACCAGTACCATGCTGAATCAGAATGGCATCCTGACCAAAGGCATCCTGAATCAGAATGGCCGTTCTTGATTATTACAGACCTCTTTCTGAAAAGCTCAGAATTGGTACAAGCCATGTTTCCCAAACTGAACAATCAAGAAAGAGTTACACTGTTAGACCTTATGATAGCCAAGCTAAGGAGTGAGGAGCCACTCACCAAGGATGACATCCCTGTGTTTTTACACCATGCTGATTTGATCGCAAGCACCTTTGTGGATCAGTGCAAGACTGTGCTCAGGTTGGCCTCTGAGGAGCCTCCAGATGATGAGGTTTTTTTTTTTTTAAATAAAAGGGGTAATTTACTTGGAGATGGGGCAGACACAAGGAGGTCAACCGTGCTGCGGTACCAGGGAGAGCAGTAGGCTTTCCGGGGCTCAGACCTCCCCGGCTGCCTCAGGGTGCTTCTGCCACAGGTGTTTGTCCAGCGTGGCTCTCAGGCCAAAGGGCACACAGCAGTGGGGACACTCGAAGCGGGTGCTGCCAGGTGTCATGCCGTGCATGTGGCGGTGGCGGTTCAGCTTGCTGCTCTGGGCATAGGCATAGTTGCAGAGCTCACAGGTGTAGGGGCGCTCCCCGGTGTGCGAGCGCCTGTGCACCATCAGGTTGCTGCTGTTGGTAAAATGCTTCCCGCAGAACTCGCAGCTGCCCCTGGGCCCGCGGCTCTTGCCCGCTGACTTGGGCATCTTTTTGGGTGATGCCTTCTGGCTGCTGGCAGGGTTGATTCTCTGTTCCGTGGTGATGGCTCCCCAGGTGTCTCCACTGGGGCCGGCTTTTTTTTTTTTTTTTTTTTTTTTTTTTCAAAAGGATTGCCCTCCAAGAGACTGGTTTATTATCTGCTGTCGCAGAAGGGTACAATATATTACTTAAATGCACATTCTATCCAGGAGGACAAAGGCAAACCACGCAGTTACATGAAAGCGAAGAAACAAGAGACTGCTTAATTACTTTCACTTTTAGCTTATACACATTAAATTCTACGACCTAAAAGATTCATAAGTTCCCAAATTTGTACTTATAAATCTTCAAACACTTACAATTTCACATACTGCAGAAGATGAAAAATCCATGAAACAGACCCCCCAAATTCAGGTATTTGGATGCAGTTCATTCATGGCTTAGGGGTGTCTCTAGTAGATTTCAGGATCAGCTTTTTGCCCTTCTTCTCAACTTCAAAACCCATTTGTTTAAGGAGGGATGGGTCTGCCAGCCCCTGCTCCTCCATCTTCGCAATCACATCTTGGTTTTGGCTGTTGTCTTAGGTAAGGTTTCGGATGGCATATATCACCCACTGCGTCAGAAAGGGGTTACTGTCACTGACGCTGCAGTTGTCCAGGATCAAGGGGATACCATCCAGCTCATTGACCTTGTCTTGGTTATCTTTATTCTTGTAACACAGATTTCCAATCACACGAATGAGATGAGACTTAAACCCCTCGGCCACATTCGAGATGTCACCTTCTGCTCTCACACAACCACAAGTACTGAAAATGTTTGTGGTTTCTTTCGCAGCTACATGAATCATCTGTAAAAGATCAATCACTCCTTCCAGCAAGCCAGGGAAAACCTGCAGATAGCCAAGCAGCTTGGTGTTCGCAGTCATTTCACACAGGACGTCGAGAAGCCTAATTGTAGCCAGGATGCCTTTGGTGACTATAGCTTTACAATATAGTTTGAAATAAGGTAATGTGATGCCTCCAGATTTGTTCTTTTTGTTCAGTCTTGCTTTTACTATGTAGGCTCTTTTTCGGTTCTATATATATTTTGGGATTGTTTTTTCTAGTTCTGTGAAGAATAATAGTGATATTTTTATGAGAATTGCATTGAATTTGTAGATTACTTTTGGCAATGTGGCCATTTTCACAATATTGATTCTAGCCATCCATGAACATGGGTTGTGTTTCCATTTGTTTGTGTTGTCTATGATTTCTTTCAGCAGTGTTTTAGTTTTCCTTGTAGAGGTCTTTCACCTCCTTGGTTAGGTGTATTCCTAAGCATTTTATTTTATTTTTTTGCAGCTATTGTGAAAGGAGTTGAGTTCTTGATTTGATTCTCAGCTTGGTCACTGTTGGTGCATAGGAGAACTACTGACTTGTGTATATGAATTTTGTATCCTGAAACATGGCCAAATTCATTTATCAGTTCAAGGAGATTTTGGGGGAGTCTGTAGGGTTTTCCAGGTTTACAATCATATCATCAGCAAACAGTGACAGTTTGACTTCCTCTTTACTGATTTGGATGCTGTTTATTTGTTTCTCTAATATGATTGCTCTGGCTAGGACTTCCAGTACTATGTTGAATAGAGGTAGTAAGAGTGGACATCCTTGTCTCGAAGTGTTGTCAACTTTTCCCCATTCAATATTATGTTGGCTGTAGGTTTGTCTTAGATGACTTTTATTACATTGAGGTATGTCCTTTGTTTGCCAATTTTGCTGAGGGTTTTAACTTTAAAGGGATGCTGAATTTTGTCAAATGTTTTTTCTGTGTCTGTTGAGATGATCACATAATTTTTGTTTTTAATTCTCTTTATATAGTGTATTAATTTATTGGCTTGAGTATGTTAAACTATCCCTGCATCTGTGATGTGAAACCCACTTTATCATGGTGGATTTTTTTTTTTTTGACATGTTGTTGGATTTGGTTAGCTAGTATTTTGTTAAGGATTTTTTTTGCACTTATGCTTATCAGGGATGTTGATATATAGTTTTCTTTTTTTGTTATAATTTTCTGGTTTTTGGTATTAGGATGACACTGGCTTCATAGACTGATTTAGGAATGATTTCCTCTGTTTATCTTGTGGAATAGTGCCAATAGAATTGACATCAATTATTTGAATGTCTGGTAGAATTCAGCTGTGAATCAGTCTGTTCCTGGACTGTTTTCATTGGTAATTTTTTTGGTACCATTTCAATATTGCTGCTTGTTATTGGTTTGTTCAGGGTATCTAATTCTTCCTGATTTAAACTAGGAGGGTTGTATCCTTCCAGAAATTTATCCAACTCCTCTAGGTTTTCTAGTTTATGCATGTAAAGGTGTTCATAGTAGCTTTGATCATTCTTTTGTATTTCTGGGAATAAAGTTATTTTAAATAAATTATATGCCACAATCAAGTGAGAATTCAAATATGACACCATAAATCTAACTCTCAATCTTATTAATAGTGAAAAGAAAATATACATATGTTCTAAATATAGAATGGGGATGAATGTTTAATAATATTGAATCTGCCTTTGCAAAAATAATGACAGTGAAAGAAATCTGTCTCTGACGGCTGCATCTTGTGTCTAACCTCACATGCTAATTGCCTTTGTTAGCTTTAAAACAAAGATGTAAATAGTCCCTTTCTGAAAATCAGCCTCTCTTCTTCTTCAGGGACTGAAACTGCTTCTGTAAGACTAATGAAAGACCAGAAGACTAGGATCACGGGAAGAGCCTAAATTCTAGGATGTAGTTGAACAGTAACCAGCCATTGCTCTCTAGGTTGCTTCTCTATAATTTCTTATTGCTCAAGAGTCACAGAGTCAGATACCATAGGATTTATAACTTCTATAATTGCTCCTATAGATAACAATACATTTTCAAAACCCATAATTTGTCTTTGAGATACTTTTTAGTCTTTTTAATTATGACTGACTCCACCAAGACTAATGACTCATATCAAGGACCTGACTCAACTGGTGACCCTCACCCAAAAACCGACAGCATGCTCAGACAGTATGGACACTCCTGTGATTGCATCCTTAACCAATCAGCCGCACCCATTTCTAACTGATAACTGTCAAATTATCCTTAAAAATCTCTGGCTCTCAAGCTCTCAAAGAAGTAGATTTGAGAAATGTCTCCTGTCCTTCCTCTTGGCCAGCCCTGTGACAATTAAAGTTTCTTTGCTGCAAACCTTCTGTCCTCAGTGCATTGGCTTTTTCTGGACAGCAGGCTAGAATAGCCCATTGAGCTCTTAGAAAATTCAACATTTATTCCCAGTTTAAAGAAATTTGTAAAAGAGTAATCACAAAGGAATTACAATTTGTGTTATGTCAATAACAAATTTCATGCTTAATGATAATCAATAAAAACTTTCTCACAAATGAGCTGTATGTATATATGTCAACATTTTGACAATGCATACAGCCCAATTCAACAATTCTATTATGGGATTTCTTCTTAGATAATTATTATATAAGGATGCATGTATAACATATGATTTATAATTGTGAATATAAATTAATAAACTAAAGTTTTTAAAGGTAAAATTAGTATGGTCAATTACTATTTATTACAACAGGCAAGTCCTATGTCACCATTAAAATTATGGTTGAGGGCTCTAGTTAGAGTTGCTAAATTGAACACACCCATATTCTTTCAACTTGCTGAAATGCTATTGAATGATAGTACAAAAATAAAAAAAACTTTACAAACACAAGTACAAAGAGAAAGAGAGATGATACATATATGGGAAAGAGATTTCAATGTTTTTGAAGGAGAGAAAGCAGATGGAAGAAAGATAATGACTAAATATAATAGATTGGGTTATAATTTCTTGTACCTGCAGAGGGCTTTTTTTTAGTAGTGAGCATGATCACCTGGCAGAAACCCTGAGGACTGACAGAAATTAGTTGAACAGTTGGAATTTAAAAGTTTTCATGTAAAGTGATTGGAACCTACTTCCTCTTTGTTACTCTATTTGCCCAAGCAGCTGCCTCTGCCTCACTTTGTCTACCTAGCCTACTTTCAGATGATAGTTTTAGAATAATGCAATTCTAGACGAATATATATATATATTTTTTTTTTTTTTGCCAGAGAAACTCTGAACTCATTGAGAAGCATAAAATCAAAGGGTTGGAACTAAACAACAGGCACAGAATTAAACATAGAGGGATTACATGAGAGTTTACATAACTTTGGGCAGCTCATTCAAATGTCAATATTCAGACACATGCCCATCAGATCGAAGACCAGGTAATTTCTCTCTGACCAATTCTAGGGAATAAACTTTTAGTTTCTAACGTTTGTGAGTAACAAATGTAAAAATGGCCATCACTCTATGACTCTTCTTTGGTACATTTAAATTAACAAGTCACAAAGACCATCCATTTCTGTAAGTGTTTCAGTCATAAAGGTATACAGATTTCTAGGGATTAAGAAACATTTTAGGGAGGCTCTTCAACATGAAAAAAGAGACCAAAGGAAATAACTCTGAGAAAAACTCGGAAGAATCAAAGTGCCGGAAATAGAAATAAATAAAATAACACTAAACAAGCAGACATTTTGATATGAGACAATATTACATTTAAAAAACAGTATGGATACAAAATATGAAGAAGTAGGCAGAGCAAGATGACTGAATAGACTCCTCAAGAGATTGCTTAAGTCCCTGCCACAAGAAAACAAAATTGTACAACTATTAATACAAAAAAGCACCTTTGTAATAACCAAATTCAAGGAAGGAATCACAGTACCTGGTTTTAACATCACATCAAGGAAAGTGGCACTAAAGGGAAGGAAAGAGTCTTGCATTGCTGAAACTACCCCACTTTTATCTGCTGGCAGTGGCTATGTGACAGAGAATTTGTGTCTTGGGTGAGAGAGAGTGCAATGATTGTGAGACTCTGCATTGAAACTCAGTCCTGCCCTGTCTCAGTGGAAAGAAATGTAGTACAAAATTTAGCCAGCACTCATGGAGAGAACATTTAGATCAGCCCTCAGAGGAGTCATTTGTCCCATTGGATAGAACCTGATTTCTGGCTAGCCCCACAATTGCAGGTTAAAACACTCTGAGGTCCTAAATAAACCTGAAAGGTAATCTAGGCTATAAGGGCTGCACTTCCTGGAGATGTTCTGGTATTGTGTTGGGCTTGGAGAGAGTGGACTTGTGGTGCATGGGACCTAGTGAGACACCAGCCACAGTGGCCAAGGGAATGCTTGCATCATCTATCCCACAACTGCAGGTAGTTCAGTTTGCAATTTGTGAAGAGACACAGTCCTTCTCTTTGAGGAGAGGAGAGGGGAGAGTAAAGAGGACTTTGTCTTGCACCTTGGGTACCAGCTCAGCCACAGTAGCTTAGGGCATCAGACAGAGTCCTGGAGTTCCCACTCCAGGCCCCAGCTCCTGGATAACATTTCTAGACATGAGGGCCAGAAGGCAACCTGCTGCCTCGAAGGGAAGGACCAAGTCCTAGCAGAATTTATCACCAGCTGACTGAAAAGCCCTTGGGCCTTGAGTAAACATCAGCAGTACTCAAGCAATAGTTGACCCAGGGCCATGCTGGCCTCAGATGTGACACTGCATTCCCAGCTCTGGTGGTCATGGGGGGAGATTCCTTCTGTTTGGGGAAAGAAGAAGAAAAAATAAAGTAGGCCTTGTCTTGCAGTTTGAGCATCAACTTGGCCACAGTGGGGTACAGCACCAAGCAGCTCCTGAGTTTCCTAGTTCCAGGTCTTGGCTACAGGACAAGATTTCTGAGCCTTGCTCTAGGCCAAAGGGGGAGCCTCTTGCCTTGAAGTGAGAGACCCAGGCTTGGCAGAATTCACCACAAGCTTACTGAAGCCCTTGGGTCTTGAGTGAATCCTGTTGGTAGCCAGGAAGTACTCACCGTTGGCCTGGGGCTGTGGTGACTATGGGGAGAACTTCTTTTTTATGGGGAAAGGAGAAAGAGGAATGGGAAGGACTTTGTTTTGCAGCTTGGGTGTCAATTGGCGCATTAGAATGGAGCACCAAGTAGATTCTAAGGTTCCTAACTCCAGGTTCTGGCTAGCCAGTGGCATTGCTGGACCTTTCCTGGGACAGTGGGAGCTTGCCACCCTGAAAGGAAAGACAGGAGCCTGACTGAATTTG